ATATATATATATATATATATATAAATATATGTATATATATATTTATATACATAGAATTTTCTTTCCTTCAAACATATCCATTAGTCGTGAGTTTACAAAACAAAAATAAATAAATAAATAAAAGTGAGAACTAAAATAAACAACTAAACAAAATAATCTTTAAAGAAAACAAAAAGTTTTTTTTTTATTATACTCATATAGTAGCCGAAAAAAAGAAGGAAAAATAAGAGCATAAAAAAGAATTGGACAGGAATAACTGTGTTGATCTAAAACTTCTATATATTCTTTCTGTTTCTCCTCCTTCTTCTGCTTCGCCTCTTCCTTCCCCTTCCTATTACTTTACCAGAAAAACCAAACCTTTCTTTACTCAATTTTTTCTTTCACTATTAATTCAGTCGAAGGATAACACATAACAAATTGTACAATCAAAACAGTGATGAAACTATGTAAAAAATTGGTTATTATAACAAAAATATGCATTTCAGTTATCCGTTGCACATGACTGGAACCAATTGTCATTAACGCTGCCAATAATAAAGCGATTAGTAGCCGTATCAATAGTTCCAACTTTTTACCGGATAATTGTGCAAATCTTTCTGCTTCTGTTGCTGCTTCACTGGGTTTCCGTTCGTTCAGTGCCTTCTTTTTTGTGCTTCCATAACCAAATGCTAACATAAAATTTGTTGGCGTTAAGAAATGCCTAAATAAATGAGCGATGAAAACAGGAAAAAGCAGAAAACCCAGAAACTTCGTGTTGTTGTTGTTGTGTAATGTTCAATAACGTTATTACAAGAAAGAAATAAAAAAAAAAAGGTTCTTCTTGAAAAATAACTGCCAAAAGAAATAGCAATAAAATAGAGTAAACCAAAAAAGAAAGAGAAAAACGTTAACAAATTAAAAATAAAGAAATATTGAAAACAAAAAACTGCAACAATACTTACTTAAGTAAATAATAAATGATAAAAGTATAGGAAAAATAGATTAGAGAATGCTTATGTGGCGGCCATAAGTCAAACATTTTACGAAGCTGTAATTTGCCATCCATTTTTGCTCTATCGTTTAACTGCAAATAAATTGGCTTGCAGCTGCAAAATAAACATAGCAAATTACCCACTCATTTGGCTGTATTTAATGCACAGTTATTTTACAATAAATTATTTGCACTGAAAAATTCGAGAAAAAAAATCAGCAGATGCAAACCTTACAAATTTTATGAAACAAAAAAATCAAAAATCTTCCTCTTTTTCTTTTGTTTTCTTTTTTTTGCAATAAGCAGAATAGATTAAGAAAAAAAACTTCTGGTTTTTTTTTTTTTTTTTGGGGGGGGGGAGGTTGATTTATCACCTACAAAAACTAGCTGCTATTTATCAACTCCAAAAACAATAACAACAAATGGTAATAACTTAAAAAAATAAAAAGATAATAATAATATAAATTAATTTAAAAAATAATGGTCTTACCTGTTGAAGAAAATACAGATATGGTATGCTGAACAGATTAACAGACAATGAATAAATGATTTGCGATGCAACCAAATAGAGTAAAAAAATTTTTACGTTTGATACAATGAACATCCGACAACAGTATTCCTTTAATCGAAACCACAGTCTTGAAGCCATCAGAATTAAGTAGAAAGTTCTTTGTTCTTTTTCTTTTATTGCTTTTTGCTAAAAACTGTTCGTTAAATTTTCATTACATTGGGTTTCTTTTTCTCTGCTTTTTTTTCTTCATTCCACACGATTCTGTGCCCAAATTTATTTCGATGCTGTTAAATAATGGTAATAAATGGAGAAAAGAGAAACATTTCAATTGTTGAACAGCTGACGAATAAAAAAATAAGCACTTTTAATATCGATACAAATCTATTTTTCTACAGTTTTTTCTCAAAATTTTTAATCATTACTCAACTAGAAAATTTGGTTCCTTTCTT